CATCATACCTTAAAGCAATCATAGTACCATATCACCCCACTAGAGCACTGTGCTCCCATAATTCAGGCTTACTTGTTGTTCCTAAAGTATTGAAAAGTAGAGTAGGAGCCAGAGCTTTCAGCTATCAGGCTCCTCTCCTGTGGAATCATCTCCCAGTTTCAGTTCGAGAGGCAGACACCTTCTCTACGTTTAAGAGGAGTCTTAAAACCTTCCTTTATGATAAAGCTTATAGTTAGAGCTGGTCCAGACTTGTCTTAGAATTGCTCTTTGTTATGCTGCTATAGGTCTAGAATGTTGGGGGACACATGACACATGGAGTTTCTCTTTCCTCTTCTCCATCTTTGTCACATTAAAGACATTAATGTCTTATCAATACATGTTACTCACTTGACTTGTTCTCCGGAGTCCCTGTGCCCTATAACTCGCGAATCCAGGGCTGCGGCTGCGGCCACATCATGAATCATGATGGTGGATCACGAATTAGACATCGTGATCATAATGGCGGATCCTGTATCATGCTGGCTGATCATGATGGTATTGGCGGATCCTGTATCGTGTTGGCAGCTGATCGTGGATGGTGGTGGTGGACAATGATCGAGGTGGCAGCCGATGATGGACCCTGATGGCGGCAGTGGATCATGACGATGGATTGTGGATTATGGTGGCAACAGATCATGGTGGTTGATCCTGATCGTGCTGGCTGCTGATCGTGGACTATGATTACTAGAAAACTGCTTGATACACAATATGCCTACTCAGATACTCTATCATTACTGACAATAATTCCTCAATTCACCTTCCATCATGCTACAAACTGTTTACTCAAAGCAATGCTGTAATTAAAAATATTTTTCTGACATTCTTAATTACACGTGGCATCTATTGCACTTCTGTGCATCCTGGGAGAGGGATCCCTCACATGTGTCTCTCTCTAAGGTTTCTATAGGGCATTAACTCCAGCCAACAATAAAAAATAATGCATACTATTTAATACTGTGCTTTACTAGCTTTTTCTCATGTGGTTCACAGTCAAACCTGAACTGCATCCTTTACTCTACCACTCAATCCCTGCTGATTCATTGCCAGTTGCATCAGATGTCTGCAGTACAATATTTTGCCAGTAAGTTAGTTGGTGAAATCGACATTTTTGCTGAATAACATCTGACATACAGTATAAGTGCAGGAGAAACTAATGATTTGTTGACTGAGATGACACAAACACACACACACAAGCTAATCCCCTAATAATTCTATAGAGAGCATGATTGGATTGAATGAAGAATAAAGAGCAGAAGAAAGCAGCGAATGATGCGTGCCATGTCTGTGTTTGCAAAGCCACCATTTAGCATATTTTGGTAATTGCTCGGCACAAATTCAAACTCATTAAATGACTTGTGATGTGCAGCAGTGGCTTCATAATAATTTGCACGCTCGA